AAAGGAAAGGAAAGGAAAGGAAAGGAAAGGAAAGGAAAGGAGGGAAAATCAAAACCCTGTCGCCAAATATTTTCTTTAATTTAAAAAATTAATTAAATCACAGCAGTTCCTTTTCTTCAAAACAAAGATCACTTGTTTGGCATCCTTCGCTCCTTGGTTGGGAATAGCAGCCCTTAGGGGGAAAAAAATGTTTCCTCATCCTAGTGATCATTTAATGTCTGTAAAGATGCAAAACTTGGCATTTCGTAAAAAAAGAAAGAAAGAAAGCAGATCTCTATTGTTATGGTCTGTCTATTTAAATTCTAATTTGTTCCTCGCGTTTATGCTTATTAGAGCAGAAAGTCGTTGAAGTTTTCCTCTCTGTTTGTGTTTTTCTTGTCTTTTGCGGGCACTGTGGTTTTGGTTTGCAAATACTTTTCACGTTTTTCTTTGGGGAGTATGTCGAGTGATGCTTTGGTTGAAAATGTACAGACAGGAGTGACAGTAAGAGTTCCCCTTTGCCATCTCCTTTGCAGTGACTCTAGATTTCTCTTCCTTCACGAAAGGAAGGAAAGGGACGTTATTAGGTTTCTATAAAAGAAATTGAAGAGGCATTTTATAAACGTGCTCCAAAGCAGCTCCTGGATAAACAGTCTTCTTTAAATAATGATTTCAAGTATCAATAGTAAACTACCATAATATAAGATGCAGCAAGGATCAAAATGTTTGCTTTCCATTTCTTACCTATTTCATGCTAAATTGTTTTGCTTAAATTGTAATAAATACAGGGAAAAGGGGGGAATCTTCATTTCCAATCATGACCTGTTGCAATACAATCTATTATTTACTGCTGTAATGAATATTTGCATTCTTAAAAGCAAATGAATGTGTCCTTGCCTTCTTGCATCTTGCATATATTCAGTTTTTATCACACAGAATATTATACCCTACATATTACTGCATTATTAAAAGTGTTGGCAAACAGCATTATATTATATATATATGATATATAATATCAAACACTGGCATTACTGAGACAGGGCAGCAATGATATACAATGAATATTTGCAAATGTATATTGCATAATATTTGTTTATATATAACATTTGTTTATATAAAACAGTTTGCTTGTTACTTAATAATATACACAAGTATCTTTCCCTCAAACAATTGTGTTAATTTGGAGAAATTACTACATCTTTTAAAATTGGGATGCAGTTATTTGTTTCATAATATTAGTGTTTCCTGCTTCAGTTCCATTTGTAGACTTATACACTGTATGCTTCTTTTCCCCCTACCTTTATTTTTAGAAAGAAGAACTGAATTGTTTGGCCTTGGAGCATATTCATTGATCAATAGTTTTTGTTGTTGTTTGTTTAGCTGCATATTCCAGAGATTAATTCCAAGAAAACAGTGAATAAAAAAGTCTCTCTGTAAATGCATAATTTGTTCGGTTTATTCATTTCATCTTATCTCCTTCTTGTTACATTTTCAGTCAGTACATGTACAGACAATTTTTGTAATAGGAAATATCATTTCTATATACAGTATTTCAGTTTTGTTCTTTATTCTAAGATGAAGACATTCACATATGCTCAACAAACATTACTATTACAATGAATAATTGTGTTTATTATATGGGAATGTATGGTCCTTCTGTTAATACAGTACTGCTTTTTCAGCTCTTGGAATGATGTGCAACTATAACAAAACAAAACAAAACCTAGTAAAAACCAATTGCCAGAGAAGATTTTAAAATTCTAACACTAAAACAAATTATAAGCATACAGGTTGAGTCTCCCTTATCAAGATGCTTGGGACCTGAAATGTTTTGGATTTTGGATTTATTTATTTATTAAATTTTGGAATATTTGCATAAATGTATTGAGCTCATCTTGCAGATGAGACCCTAATCTAAACATAAAATTCATTTAAGCAAAGCAAAGCAAAGCAGTTTAATTTATATACCGCTTCATATCGCGCTATGGGATGTCTAAGCGGTTTACAACTGTAAGTTCATTTATGTTTCATATACACTTATGTACATAGCCAGAAGATAATTATTAAAATATTTTAAATAATTTTGTGTATGAAACAAAGTTGGTGTACATTGAACTATCAGAAAGTAAATGTGTCACTATTTCAGACACCAATGTGGACGGTTTTGGAATATTTTGAATTTTGGAATTCCAGGTAAAGGATACTCAGCTTGTAAAACCACTAAATGATTATTTTTAAGCCAATAAACAGAAGTATGGTTTATTTAATGGAGGTACTCATATGGGTATGGAACTACATGGTGAAATGTGAATCTGTATTTTCAGATTCACATCCACATTTCATGAGTGAAATCTAACCTCATGCAAGAAAACTTCAGCTGGAGCAATTCTATTCTCCCCTATTCTTCTTAGAACCTCTCCCATTCTCCTCTTGCAATATCTACCCTTGGGGAACCTCCAAACCTCTGGAATATATTTTGAGAGAATGAAAGATAAAAGAAGGGGAGGAACTATCTCACCTCGCCATTCCACTGATGAAGCCATTGACACCATCTCATCAGGAGCGCCTGTTATCAGCTTCGGCTGATACGCCAGCTGTACACTTTCCTGGAGATTAGGGACCTTGAAGCTGTGATACATGTGCTGATAACCTCTCGTCTCGATTTCTGCAATGCACTCTACATGGGGCTTCCCTTGTGCCTAGTTCGGAAACTTCAATTGGTACAGAATATGGCAGCCAAACTGGTCTCAGGCAAAACCAGAAGAGACCACATTACACCTATTCTAAGATCACTGGCTGCCTATCAGTTTCCGGGCACAGTACAAGTTGTTGGTTATTACCTTTAAAGCCCTAAATGGCTTGAGTTCAACCTATATTCGGGACCGCCTCCTTCCGTATAATCCGCCCCACACACTCAGGTCCTCTGGGAAAAATGTATTGCTATCTATACAAACTAGACTATCTGCAACTGCCCAGAGGAACTTTTCGGCTATCAGTTCCGACTTTGGAACAACCTGCCAGATGAGATCCATCACTTGATCACCTTAAACAGCTTTTAAAAAGCTGTTAAGACAGATCTCTTCCGGCAGGCCTTTCCTGAATAGATAACCGGCCACCGAAAAGAATATATATATATATATATATATATATATATATATATATATATATGCCTGTCCCTGTTTTCTGTTACAGCTATTTTAATCTAATTTATTTGTCATTTATTGTAACCTGCTATTTTAAGTATGTTTTTAAATTTCAATTGTTTAATTGTATTTTAAGGGGGGGAGGTTACTGGGGGACTGAACTGTTTGTTTTTATCTTGTAGGCCACCCTGGTTGTATTTTACAGAGAGGCGGGATATAAATTATTATTATTATTATTATTATTAGTAGTAGTAGTAGTAGTAGTAGTAGTAAGAAAGGTTAATTGGATAATACCCTGTGTAATTCTTACACTGTTTGACTTCCACTGAATGTCATCTATTAAATGTTCTGGAGGATACTGGAGTTTTTAAAATGTGATCTAGGGAATGATTTAACACAAAATCAAGAGGAAAGGAATCCAAAGCTCCAACAACCCCTTGCATCCCCAACCCTTTCCTAGTGCAGGTTATCTGATTGTCTCCCCCCCCAAAAAAATCAAATAAAAGAACTTGGTGCTGAGAAAATGCAGTCCTCA